TCCTTGTTTCTTCTTCTAATAGCCTGTAGCCAAAAAACTTGGGAAATTATTTTTCCAATAAAAATCAAAGTTTTTTTAGAGATATTTTTTTTAAATATTTTTTCCATGTTTCTGGTATCTACATTTTTCACTGGGGCGCTAGTTCTGGCGCACCCTGTATAAGCCTGTATGCTGTTTCATTGTATTTTACAAAAATGCAAAATCATTTTGTAGCAACATTTTTCTTTCTTCTGTCACCTTATATAGACACGAAATACGACACCACTCCCAAGTATTTACTTCAATGAAGAAAATTTTACAAGTTTATAATTAACATTGATTGTAAATTTCCAGTTTTTGTTTTTAATCAAGTACCGAAAATAGGTAAAAATGTTGTTCCTGTTGTTGATTCAATACAAGGTAACCCCAAGTTTAAAAAATTTCACGCATAAAGAGAACGGCCACACAGATTTAAAACGTGCAGTCGTTTCAAAGACAAGTTCCAGGCTTCCACCAGCTGCATATGAAAGAAATCATTGAACAGGATGCCTTCTTGAGCATTGTAACACTGTGCAGGCTGTAAGACATCCACATATGGACGTAAAACAGATTACAGTTGTTGGAAAAATGAATTGAGAAAAAATCTGAGAAATCGTAACTTTTTGAGTTTTGTAAACATTTTCGAGATAAAGACGATATTTCGTAAATAAGAAAAATATTTAAGCGTTGCGTGACTGGTGTACAAGTGATATTTTCCCACAGCAGCGGTGTTTGTGCTGCAAGATAAGGTAACCAGCAGATTGAATCAACACCTGCGCTAGTGTGAGAAACGAGCTCCATTCTGGTGTGTATGCACACATGTTTCGTCGTCTCCTCGACGTAAAACGGCCCGACCAAAAGGGCTGAATGTGTTCACCCGCTGATTGAAATGCTTTGTGCAATGTTAGCCAGACTTGCGGTATCACCGAACAGCCCCTTGGATTGAATAAGGACTGTCAACAGCTGCAAGAGCCACCCAAAGTGAAGCTGTTGTAGGAAGTCGACTTCCTAGAAGGTCCGAGAAAAAATGTTTTGACTTTTATGATACCGGAACGGCCTTTTCTCAATAATTAGACACACTGGAACATTTTTTGCGACTAATTTAAACTGACATATTTTTTGTCTAATCTGACAGGGTTGATTTTAAACTTGAAAATAACAATAATAATATCCAAATAAATAAAATAGACCACTTTTAAATCTCATTGTTTCCGATATGTTATAGAACGCGTAAAAATAGGTGACACCTATTTTACCGTTTTTTAATTTTTTAATGTATATTGACATTAAGTACCTCGAATAACAAACCAACCAATTTTTTTTAAATAATATTTTTGGCCTCCTGACATGTAAATGTCAAATTAACGTACAATTGACACCTATTGAAAGACTGTATTTACAGTCGCCTGAGCATTTTACGCACAGACGAGTGTAAAGTGACAGTTTTACCGCACTGCCAAAATTATCTTCATAGACTTTTATAAAAAAAAACTGTTTGTAAGATGATAACATTTTTAATAAAACGCTCTACACACAACCTTTCAATCTTAGAACTCTTTTTTCTTCACACCACTTTATAATTATAAACACATTGTACTGGGCTTCAT